CATCAGCGGTTCAAGGTTAGAATGCTCAAAAGCCACACAGCTGGTCTGGATTCGACAGATACCCAGCCAACGCACACTTTTTACTGGGCCATGTCGTGAATTTATCTCAGACGCAAGGATAAATATCAACTAAGTTCTAAACGCAACATAAGGCTTCCGTCATGCATCTACGTTGTACGCGGAGGGAAGTTGGGCTTGAGGTTAGCTAGGCCTCCGTTATAAAGATAAAATGCCACCACCACAGAAATTTCAAAGCTTTATGTTCCCCTCGGAACATGAAGCAATAGATACGGAATGATGATAGTCACAATGCGCACATCTTCATATTTAACACGCTTAAAAATGAAGCACATTTATACATATTGGTGAAGATATAGTCCCATACAATAGGTTCATCATTTGAAATATCTACGTGTTCAATTAGGTCTCATGTATTGTCTTGTCTGGGTTATTATATACTCAGTTTAATACCTGAATGGTTTCTGTAATTGCAAAGTTCCACACTATCCCTCTAGTCTGTCTGTTTTCGACATAGAACTTTGCACATATGTGCAACAGTTCAAGTAGCCACACTCCTTCAATGTAGCACACAAAGCAAGAAAAGAAAGTAGAAGAAATGCATAATACAGACAGTAAACAGAGCTGTGAGACAAAGGAATAGTAATAACGAAGAACAATAAAATTTCGTTGGAAATTATAAGTCACAAGGAGCAGATGCATCTGTGCCAGCCATTGAGAATGATGAGTTTGAGCCATCTCATCAATTGTTTCCAGCTGTCATTGGTTTTTACCGTCCCGAGGACCCCAATCAGTCAGGAAGCCTACACCTTCCTACGTGGCTTGAACTAACTGTTGTGGATTTCATTGACTGGTACCATGTTTTGGTTTGACCGCTGCTAGCTCTTTTCCAGCCTGACCCTATCTCAGATAAGATTGCTCGGCGAGGAGGCAGTGGGTGGCTAGGCATACGAAACACATATCCTAACCATCTTAGTCGATGTAAATTCACAGCCTCGTCGATTGATTTCCCCCTAACTACCTAGTACTCGACGCTTAACCGAAATATTGCTCACCCTGTAATAGCGCTTCATAGGGGAGATAGAACGCAGGCACCTATGATCGAAGACAGCTAACCAGGCTTTTCATGTCTTCCACTCTCAATGCCAAGGTCTCACTCACAGCTATAAAGGAGGACGGAGCGGACTGATGAGCAGTACACACGCCCTTTGGTCGATAGCCGGATATCACGTCTAAGCCAGAGACGGCGTAAACTGGCATATGTGAAACTAGTCCTCTGTATCCGCGATGAGATTTCGTCAGAGATCAACCCGTTGGCACTGGCTGATGATACTTCCTAAATAAGTGAAGTGGTCAACGTGCTCTACCACTTCACTCCCTATTTCTAATTTAGGAGTCAGTGTAGTCCAGTCCTGTATCATCATCTTGCATTTGGGTGGGGGAGAGAATCGCATGCCAAACATTCGTAGATTGCTGCCTAATGTGTTCAGAAGACTCTGCATTTTGTCATCGTTCTTGCCTAGAAGGACTATATCATCTGCATATTCTAAGTCAACGAGATTATTCCCTGATGATAACAAGTCAATCCCTGAGTCGCTGAAGTGAGTTAGGGTTAAATCCATTAGTACATCTATGATGAAAGTGAATAGAAATGGGGATAATAGGCATCACTGTCGGACGCCATTATTCGTCACCACTTCAGATGACAGCTCGCTGTAAGCTCTCACCTAGCTGACTGCATGAGTTCGAGTAGAGTGTGTTGATTAATGCAATGTATTTCCTTGGTATTCCCTCTAGACAAAAATGCTGAAGATATTGCAAGTGAAGTAAATTCTCAGCATACAACTTTGCACAAATGTGCAGCATTTTCACTGGTTACACTGCATACAAGAAGTACAAATGAAAGACATACGATAAAATATGAAAATGCCTAAATTTACCTAGATGGCTGGCTCAAACAGTCAATAACTTTATGGATTGATGTGAAATCCTCGTTTAACCAAGTCTACCTTAATTCTTTTTCAACCTTAATTGAATTAAGTAATTACTGACTCGCGTTGCACATTAAAGAGGTGGCTCTCGTCTCCTTTGAAGTTTGAAGATTATAGATAATGAAGTTCAAGCCTCCTTGGTGAGAATACTGTCATTCATAATATTACCTAAGATTACAGGATTTCATCACGACCTGACATTACTTAGAGAACCATCGGAAAACCAGCTGGGAGTACTGGACAACTGTTTCCTCTGTCCCAGTTTGGGACTCTTCACCAGTACGCACCCACCACATGGGTTTGAATCCAAGACCTTCTGGTTACAAAGCGAGCTGGCTCGTATACCATTAAAAGCCACTGGGACCCGATCCAATGGCCAGCCCATGAATTCTAACTTCTGCCAATTCACGACACATAGTGCGACCCCTAGCCAATGTCTTCGGTGAGTATTTGTCCTCACACCCTACCACCTGCACCCTACTGGTCACGACTTCTCACTAGAACCCCAGGTAACTAACTACCTACCTGAATAGGGCAAGTCACTAGTGAGCATCTCATTGATATTCAAGTGTTGGTTTGTGGGAATATCAATGAGATGCTCACTGGCGACTTGCCCTATTCAGGTAGGTAGTTAGTTACCTGGGGTTCTAGTGAGAAGTCGTGACCAGTAGGGTGCAGGTGGTAGGGTGTGAGGTCCTGGGTTCGAACCCATATAGTGAGTACTTACTGGTGAAGAGTCTCAAACTAGGCTGACGAAACAGCTGTCCAATACTCCCAGCTGGTTTTTCAATGGTTCTCTAACTAATGTCAGCTTATCATGATGAAATCCTGTAACCAATCAACTAAATCCCTACAAACCAACATTTGAATTACCTAAGATTATTCGATGAGGAAGGTGATTATATTACAAATATAAATATTCAGATAAAGGCAGGCATATAGTAAGTACACAGACGCCTTTGCCTACAAGAAACAACAGAACAACGGCAACAGCTGATAGCGTATGCATATTGAGTATATGTGCATTTATTTGTAAACTCCTTCATCTTTTTCACAGTCAATAAATAATTTTGCTAATTGATGAAGAAATTTACAAGCAGACAAATAAGATATAGACGGATAGATATAACAATATCAAATATAGTGAGTGCATCATTATATATCTATCTATCTATCAATAATATATATTACATGCAGTTTATATTACTGATTAACATTTGAAAGAAGTATATAAGTAGTATGTATGTATGTAGAAAAGAAATTCAAGGAGGAATAGGATAAAGTAGAATATATATAAAAAGAGTAAACATTAATTTATATAAATAAATAGATAGATTATTTCCTCTTGTGATTCACATTAGAGAGAAAGAGAGAGCAAGTAAAGAAGTAGTTAGTAGGTATGTGCATAAATGAACGTTTTCTTCTCTGTCCGTTTTAGTCTTCTAGTAGGAGAAAATTCTCTCGTTATTTGCTTATTCGTTATAATAATAATAATAATAATAAATTCACTTTTATTTTTACATGAGAAAGATTTTTGTACATTTCGTCGTCCCCTCCCTGTTCAACTGGTTCCTTAAATACTTTACCCCATACTCACATACATACATACATAAATGATGGAGGAATACAGAGAAAATAAAAGGCGGAAAGGTTAGGCAAAATTTTCGTCTATTTTCGGTAAACACCGGCCGGTTTAAGCAAATAAGTAGTAGTATAAGATAAATGCAACATTATGTTGTAGATTTGTGTTTATTACTACAAACTTGATCTTAATTTCTTTAAGGATTTATTTACTTGTCCTTGATGTAGGTCAGTCAGTCAGTCAGTCAGCCAGTAAGTGAGTGAGTGAGTGAGTAAGAGTTCATCACATAACCAAGCAAGATAAGTCAAAACCCTAAAGAGCATCCATCTATCGAACACTGTGACAAACTTAAGTCAATCATTGGAATTTGATGTATACAGAAATAATGACAAAATAGACACGATTACAACTACTACTAATGCTACCACCACTACTGTTAATCCTTGACATCAGTAGTATATACCATAAAACCCTAAATAAATACAATTTCAACAGTAAGTATACACATAAAGAATGTTTATAAGTTAAATAAAAATGAAAAATAAAAGATAAATATCATTAGGCAGCCAATGAAGAAAAGAAAGGTGTTTCGTTATCAGCAGATGCCATCACATTTCATTTAAAGAATTACGTAATACGAAGGTTGATAATGATAATATGAAGAATAGTAAAACTGTAAATATGTAGAAATGAGATATCTATCGTAAAACACACAAAGTAGATGTGTGTGTGTGTGAGATAAGAGGGAAAAGAGAAAGAGAAGGGTCAGGTGAAAATCTTTCCCATTATTCTCCTCTTTTTAAAATATTAATAATCTTATCAATGAATAAATAAGGGTAAATGATATTTTAAGACACATATGGCTAGCTAACAGACAGTAATGGTCAATTCTCTTTTCGTCATAAAACAACTTCTTAAACGCGCAAACAAAGCAACAAGCGAGAACACCTAAATGCCGTTTATACATGAGTAATAATAATAATTAATAATAATAGTATAATAACAGTTTCAATCTCCATCTGTCTGACAGCTTAGAAAATATTCACACACGCTAAAGAACACGGTGTAGAAAGGACCGCCAAGAAGAAGAAATCTTTATAACACTTCTAATAAATAAATAAATATAAAAAACTGTACAATTGTAAATAATATTTAAAAAAAGACTTTGGTTGGCAAAAACAATTTGAACTGAACTTTTAATTCGATGCCTTTGTTTTTTTCAAATTATCCACTTCATTTTGTTTTAATTTTTCTATTGTCATTTTGTGATTGGTTGATTCATTATGGATGTGTAGGCGGTCTTTTTAGGATTGATAAACTGTATTGGGATAGATAGAATGTAGAGTAGTTGTTGTTGAAGTGGTAAGAGAAGCGACAGAAGCACCATCAGGTGAACGAATAGATGTAGGTTAATGTTGAGGATGATGATGAGGAGGAGGTGGGGGCGGAGATGAGATAAGACACTGTTGACTACGCTGCATAGGTTGATTATTTCCTCTAGACACTTGAGTATTTGATTTCATCTGATATAATTGTTGATCCAATTGTACTGGTAATATTCGTGTTGTTGATTGGTTGGAGGATAAATCTCGGCCAGAATCAACACTATCTGAAGTTGGAACTTGTGTGAAACTACCTTTCATAGGATGATGATACATTGGATAGGCTTCTGAATTAGAATTTACTATCATCATGTTACTTGGATCATGAATATTCGTAAATTGATTATGACAGTCTATTGGTGTATAGGCTTTAGACGTGTTATTGACATCAAAGCCACCCATAGCAGTCGATGAAATGATGATGTTACTGGAGCTAGTGGCGACAGCGGTAGCCGCAGGAGCAATATTTGTGGTTACAGTATGAAGTGTTGTTCTAGCTATTGTTGTTGCCATCGGTAGACTTGCTACAACAACATGTTGTGGACTGTTAATAAAACCATTTGAAGAATTATTATTATTACTACTTAAATGATCTTCAAGTTTTTTAATACGTGTTGTATATTTACGTTTAGCTTTTTCAAAGGCTGTTATCAATGCACTATTAGCACGTTTTAAATCATCTATTAATTCTTCACTTTGAACTTGTTGTATTTCTGTACTACTACGCAGAGCTTCAAGAGCTTGTAATAAATTCTGTAAAAGAGAGAAAAAGAGGAATAAAATAATCATTTTAAACAATGCGGGAATATTCTATTCTTCGTGTGTAAATAAATACTGAATGACAGTTCCAAGGAATTTAATTGTTTCCAGGCTAGACTACAAACTGAGATCACTTAAGGAGAGCCAATTGCCAGTTGGCTTGTCGTAGTTTGGGTCTTTTTAGCAGTACGTACCCAGTGTGCGTCGGTGGTTTAGCAGTGAAATGCTCGCCAACCACGTACGTGGTCCAGGGTTCGATACTCCGGCCAACGCAATTCTAACCCTAGCCTAGGCCAGTAAATAGGGAAGGTTGGACATGAGACTAGGCTGGCAACCCCACTCCATAAGAACAAATCCACTGCTACCGAAACTTGAATGCTCTAGCCTGAAGTCGTGTGATCCACTCAAAACGTAATGGAATAAAACAATATTAATAATAAGCTAATGACCCACAACCAGAGATGGAAATCAGGACCTTCGCGTTACTGAGTTAGCCAGTTGACGATCTAGCAGCCACTGGAACGGAATCCGACGGCCTATAAATTCTGAATTCTATCAATTTGCGATATAAAGTATGGCCACAAGTTAATGCCATCGGTGAGTATTTCTGCCCACACTTGACATCGTGGATCCTATTTGTCACTGTTTCTCACTAGAATTCCCGGAGACTTTATCCTGCAATCTGTCCGCAATAAGTAGTAGATTAATTTCCAGATATTGGTCTACAGGTATTTGAATAGCTTCAAACTAGATCACAGTTAAAGAACCACTGAAGACCAGGGAGTATTAGACAGCTGTTTTGTCCTGGCCTGGAGTAATTCAGTAGCATGCATCTATATCCACACCACCAGGGATTGAATTCTTCAGTTTCTTTTTGGTTATAGAACAAACTCATTAACCATTTAGCCCATATGGATGACATCTAATGATCTATTTCGGGATGTATAGCACTATCACCAGTTAGTGTCATCTATAAGTATATGTCGTTCGTCACACCCAATATGATAAACCGCAGTAGTCACGACTCCTTGCTAGATGTCCATTAATCAAACGGTTTAGTTCTCAATCAGACATTATTTCCCTTTTGAAGTAGTAATGATAATGATAATAATAATAATGTGATCGATGAAATTAAACTTTCAGTATCAGTATGTACCAGCGGACAAATGACCTTGAACACACCAATCATATCCTAAAGGCAATTTTACTTAGAAATTACATCTACTCATGAAACTAATGACAAGTTATACACAGGATACCTTCCTCTCACGTGTGACGAAAATGCCTTTTAGTTTTGGATTGGAACGTCATCAGGGTGATTTAACCACATTCTAGGCATGTACTTATCTAGGTCTTCTAACCATAAAAATAACTCTAACGTGAAAATATCGCGAAACTAAACCTAATCTAACTCGGACCGACCCCTGTTAGGTTAACCTAGCCTTAACCTGCCCTTAGCTTGTACCTTAACATCTAATACCTCTCAAATCTAACCTGAAACTTACCCAGTATCCTGTTTAAATATCATAACACTTCTTAATTAGTATTTAATTTGTGGATGGTGATTAGCAGTGGAATCCAGAGCAACGAGAATTTCGTTCCATTTGGGACTCGTCATCTGGATGTACATGCATTTCTAAGTGAGTGATGATGTTCCCAACGAGATATAGTCGAAGCATTTGCACAAGAAGCCGACATGTCAACCTGAGAGACCGAGCACTTCGGTTCAATCAATCGACGGGAAAATCTAAAATTCAATTAAATAATTAATATGACCCGTTGCACAGGAGGTGGCTTTCGTGCCCCAAGTGGTCTAGTGGATAACGCCTTGGCGTTGGAAACTATGCGCACTGGGTTCAAGCCTCGGTGGGAACATCATCACTCACTGAGAAATGCAGGTACATCCAGATGACGAGTCCCAAATAGGACGAAATGCTCATTGTCCTGTATTCCACTGCTAGTCACCATCCACCAATTAAATACTAATTGAAAAGGCCCAGACATCGTCGAAGCATCTACATAAGAAGCCGATATGTCAACCTGAGACCGAGCACTTCGGTCCAATCAATCGACGGGAAAATTTGAAATTCAATTAAATCATAACACTTCATTAAGCATATTTTAGTGTTCCACTAACTTGTTCATTGAGCGTCCCAAGATTATACTTCATTGGTACTTACTTATTTACTTGTGCTTAAAGTTTAACTTGGCCATGAGATCGATTTCTAATAGTCAATAATCTATAATTGATTTAGACGAACTAATAAAGTACTCCCTAACTTTTTGTTATATATATAACAGAAAGTTAAAAGTTAATATATATTCTGATTGCGTGATTTACAAGAACAAAAAATATGCCACACCATGCTCAACTACACTACACTATAAGCTTGTTTATTTATTTTCAGACTAACTGAGTGAATTGACTAAATTATCCATCCAACCAAACACACCCACCGCCCAGAGAATCAGTAGACGTTGATGTGATGATAGTAAAAGTGAAAATCAATGTTGTACAACTTTTCTGTTCTCCTGTTTCAGTTTGTATTAATCAATACATACGGAATCATATTCTCTATCACAACCACCACCACAACCAACCAACAACAACATTCTATGCATATGCATATATGATAAATTTTAATTCCATGTGAGTATAGCAATTTATTGAATTTTAACACAGCATGCATAATTTGAAAAATCAAATACTATAAAAACAGTTAGTTTGTAGAGATTTGATTTGTTTCAAGTTTGATGACGGATCGGTGTCAGGTAGAGAAATGTTGAAAAAACCGAGGAGTACTGGACAGCTGTTTCTTCCTAGTTTAGGACTCGTCAGCATCACGCACCCACTGGGGTTCGATCCCTGAGAACTAACTTTTAAGAATTAATCTGATGCTCACTAGTAACTGGTCACAGGACGAAGTTGTCTAGAGTTCTACTGAAAATTCGTGGCTAGAGTTCACCTGGTCGGGAGTGAGGGCAAATACTCACCGCCGATGATATTGGCTGGTGATCACAAACTGGTAGGAGTTAGAATTCCTCGGCTATCGAATCAAATCCCAGTGGTTGAAATGTCTACGAGCTTTCATTAAAACCGGGAGGTCCTGGGTTCGAACCCACGTAGGTGAGTACTATTGAAGACTCCCAAACTGGGACGAAATAGCTGTCCAGTAATCCGTGTTGGTTTACACTGGTTATCCAACTGATTTCAATCTGTGACTGAAATCGAAACTAAGCAAGTACTTTCTTTTTATTATCAAGGATTTGTGAAAAAAATGAAATAAATTTAAATATATTTGCTAGGGAATGTTATTTCAAATTTTATTCGACTAAAATATCTAGACTCTATTGGTACGTCGTCTCCAAGTACACGGACAATTTGATAACACTTTGACGTCAACCAGACGTTAGTCATTCGATTGATAAAGGCCAGAAGTAGAATCTAGGATAGACACCTCATCTTATTCAAGGTTCGTCAGCTGAATTTAGCTGCATCCCTGAAGACAGTAATAGTGTTTCCCCTAAGACGTGAACTCAGAAACAATCGTTTGAAACGATAAAACGTTAATTTCCCTTTAGGCTGGGCTGCTAAACTTCAAATGCCACTACTTTTGTTTTTATTTATTGCGGTTACCCTGAATTTCTTACTGACTAATTTATAACGAACAGAACAACGGAAAAACTGAAGAGTACTGAACAGCTTTTTCGTCCTAGTTTGGGGTTCTTCATTTGTACGGCACTGGCGGGGTTTGAACCCAGGACCTTCCGATTATAAAGGAAGCTAACAGAATATCAAGTCACTGGGACCCGACACAGTGGCTCATGAATTCCAACTTCTACCAAGTCGTAACCGTAAAGTCCTTTTCCGAGGCCTGGTGAATATATACTGCTGAAGAGTTCCGAACTAGGACAACACAACTGACCAGTACTTCCTGGTTTTCCGGTGGTTCTGCAGCTGATGTCAGCTAATCATCATACCTGAGACAAATCACAACCCAAAAACCTAACTGATAGATTCATATTGAACCGAAATGCTCAGTATCCTTGTAAGGACGCCCCGACGATGTTCTAGGGTTGAATAAGACGAAACTATTATTATTGTTCCCTAGGGTTCTGAGTGGAATATAAGGATTCAACAGCACCTCTCTACTTTACCCCACTTTGTGCTGTCCTCGTCACCTCGGTCCACGATTGCCCATAATCTCTCGTCTTTTCCCCGTATGATCTACCACATGTCACCCTCAGACCACAGACCAACTTGCAGTTTCCCATTCGAGTTCCCCCCGAGCGACGGCTTGGCTAACACGCGATGTAATTCAACGGTCTCCTCAGTGGCGAGTGCCCGACCCGTCTCCATTTTCTTCTACAGATTTGTTGAGCAATAGATTCTTGGTTGGTTTGTTCCACTGCAGAGTTTCTTGTTGATAACTCTTACTGGTCAATCGGCCATTTGATCTTCAACATGGAGCCAGCCAACAAAAGTGGCAGTTGTCGACTGAAGTCTGCAGCAGCCAACTGGAAATGCTTTTCGTGACGTGTGTGTCAAGTTTCTGATCCATATAGAAGTGACTGACTGACTGACTTCATATCTGTGTTGAAAATCCGACTCTTGTTGTTTACGCTGACTATATGTGCAGAAGATTTGCAAAGTGATTTCAGAGTGAAGAACGTGTATCTTGCTGACTGACTATGACATCCTCATAGGTGCTACTGCCTGTCGTTGAAATGATACTTTCTAGCGAGATAAGTGGAGGAAGTGACCCTCTTGAAAACTTCTCTCTTTGATGATGATTGTTATTGGTTGGCTGGCTGGCTATCTTCCTCAGCTCTGTCTTCTCTATATTCTGTTTTTGCTTTCTATTTCTTCCGAGAGTTTGCTGTTTTCCTTCTGCGAGTCTTCGAGCTTGTGTAACACTATGCCGAAGTCACCTGCGAAATCCAAATCCTCCAGAGTCTTCTTATCAGTCTAGCATATTCCTGTTTGCTCACTCCCCACGTACGGTGTGCTGGAAAATCAAGTCTTACCATAATCAGAAATATCATTAGTGCTTCCAGAGGAACTCCATCTGATCCTTCTACCTCCCTGAACTATAGTAGCTTGGTTGCAATCATGATTTCTTCTTTTGTTGGAAGATTGATGTCCACTGGCAGTTCTGTGCTTGCTAATGGTGGTATTTTTGGACGAATTGCAGGTGATGATAGTCGATTCAGGAGTCTTTTAAAGTGATCAGCCCATTGTTCCCTTGGTCTCTCCTCGTTGAGAATTAGGTTGCCTCCAACATATTTTATTAGTTTCATCAGCGTTGGCGCTTTGAGGTTGGGTAAAACGAAAAGTCCATCCCGAATTCTACCGTTAGCTTACATTGACCCACCTCAGAGGACACAGACACAACAAAATGGGTTTTAACTGAACGCTACTTATTACATCTTAACCTAGAACGTAAGTGCTGTTTAACATCCTTCAATTTCCACTGCTTCTCTAAGCAGTAATGTCACTTCATGATAAAATGAGACTGCAAAAGAGAAAACATAATCATTACTTCATAAACCTTCTTCTTACCTTGACTTGACCGCGTAATAAGACTATTTCGTGCTGATTAATTCCCACTACTGTTGTTGTTGTTGCCGCTGTTGTCGAATTTTCTTTTTGTTTATCATTTGTCAATAACATCTGTGAATATCGATTATGTTGTTCAGTGATCAAGGCATCAAGATGAGCACGTAATGCACGTTCAGCTGCAGCACGACTTTCTAGAGTTAAACGATTAGCACAAAGTTCTTTTTCAAGAAGATATACACGAACTTTAAGATCTGCGCATTCTTCTTTAACACAACATAATTCCTGAAATAAAAAGTAAAAAGAGAATTTGTATTTAAGACACGACAACAACCAAATGTTAATGAAACATCAGTTAGCAAAACTTATTGTGTGACATCTGATGATACGTCAGTCTGTATGTCTGTCTGTTTTCGACATAGAACTTTGCACCAGTGTGCAGCAGTTCGAGTCGCCATACTCCATGTAGCACACAAAGCAAGAGAAGAAAGTAAAAAGAAATGCAAAATGATGACAGTAAACAGAAATACGAACAAGGCAAGAAGAATACTAAAATCGAAGAACAATATAGTTTCATTCGGTATTATGATTCATAACGAGTGGATGCATCCGCGCTATTGAGAATGATTTTAAGCCATATCACCAATTGCCTTCAGCAATTCGTGTTTACCGTCCTGAGGACACAAACCAGACAGCCAACCAGTCTACACCTTCCTACGTGGCTGGCTTAAACTAACTGTTGTGGATGTCATTGATTGATGAAGCCATGTTCTGGTTTGGCCACCACTGGCTCTCTCTTTCCCAACCTGACCCTATGCTAATCAGCTAACATGGCCCGTCGTGGAAGGCGAAAGCTAGACTTGCGTAATACATGTCCGAACCACCCCAGTCTGTGTAACTTCACAGCCTCGTCGATTGATTTCCCCTTCTTACCTAGCACTCGACCAATGCCTTACCTCAATATTGCTCACTCTATTGTACCACTTCACACGGGAGATAGAGCACAGGGGCCTATTATCAAAGACAGCTAGCTGGCTTTGTTATGTTTTCCACTCTCAGTGGCCAGGTCTGATAGCGATAAAGGAGGAGGATGGAGCGAAGTGCTGGTTTGAAGTGCGCACGTCCTTTCGGTCGATAGTCAGTCGGATATCAAGTCTACGCCGTAGATGGTGTAAACTGGCATATGCGAAACTAGCCCTCTGTATCCGCGATGAGATTTAGTCAGAGATCAACCCGTTGGCGTTGGCTGATGATACTTCCTAAATAAGTGAAGTGGTCAACGTGCTCTACCACTTCACTCCCTATTTCTAATTTAGGAGTCAGTGTAGTCCAGTCCTGTATCATCATCTTGCATTTGGGTGAGGGAGAGAATCGCATACCAAACATTCGTAGATTGCTGCCTAATGTGTTCAGAAGACTCTGCATTTTGTCAGCGTCTTCTCCCAGATGGGAGGACTATATCATCTGCATATTCTAAGTCAACGAGATTATTCCCTGATGATAACAAGTCAATCTTTGAGTCGCTGAAGTGAGTTAGGGCTAAGTCCATTAGTACATCTATGATGAAAGTGAATAGAAATGGGGATAATGGGCTGGGGTCCCTGACGGACATCACTATTCGTCACCACTTCAAATGACAACTCGCCGTAAACCCTCACCTGGGTCTGATGATACGGACTAGTCTCCTCGGCCTACGTTCGTTTGTTTAGGCAGTAAAGTCAATCAAAAGTTCCATATTGGCATACACCAAATGGTGGATACAGAGCATAAGATTGAGAAAAAAAGGTTCAGGCTTTACACTTCTTCTCTACAAGGTACCATTTCAATTCCCGAGTAGTCTGTATGTCTTCGATTACTAAGCCTAACTGAGGTAATTGTCACAAAATGAAATTTGCAACCCAATCTCTGTGTATAGAAAACGTTTGTTCAATCCGTCTCCCTCCTATTGGCCTTCAATCCCAATCTAGAATAGTTATCCAGGTGATACCGGATAAAAGTAAATATTATTTTTATCTTTACTTGTACTGCTAACTATATTATCAATATCATGCTGTGATATAGTTGAATATTTTGATTTTCAAGTATTGGTTTGTAGGGATTTAATTGATTGGTTACAGGATTTCATCATGAGCTGATATTAGTTAGAGAACCATTGGAAAACCAGCGCTGGAGTACTGGACAGCTGTTTCCCCCATCCTAGTTTGGGACTCTTCACCAGTACGTACCTGCCACAAGAATTCGAACCCAGGGCCTTCTGGTTACAAAGCGAGCTAGCTCGTAGATCATTAAGCCACTGGGACCTGATCCAATGGCCAGCCATGAATTCTAACTTCTGCCAATTCACGACACATAGCGCGACCGCTAGCCAATGTCATCCGAGACGAGTATTTGTCTTCACACCCGACGTGCTGCACCCTACTGGTCACAACTTCTGACTATTTTAATTTTTTACTTTCACAATTTATTATAATTGTTATGCTACTTACATTCTCCTTGATTCTATTTAATTCTAATGGTCCACATCGTTTCAAATGTCTATGACTGATATTTTATCATGTGATTGTAAAGCCTGATCAGCATATATCGAAAGTACGTGTTTTCCCGTTTAAATCTTGTTGCAGACTAGATTTTTCGAAGTAGATTTTTCACGAACTAGCCTACGGGTCAAGCGTCAGTGGAGTAGGGGTAGAATGCTCGCCAATCACGCGCGTATTCGGTGGTTAGATCCCCGGCCAACGCAATCCTAAACCTCAAATACCTGGTAATAGGTTTAGCAAAGTGGGAAGGTCGGCCATAAGACTAGCAACTCCACCCTGTAAAAATAAAACCACTGCTATCGAAACTTCAAAGTTCTAATTTGAATCCCGCCGTTCCGTCGGGAACGCAAAGGGGAAAAAAGCAAAAAAAAGACTAAGAGTTACACTAATCATGCAATGGTTGCTGATACCTACCAAGTTATTTAAGCTGAAGTAAGTGAGGCTGAACTCATCCGCTGAAAAATGAGTAGGCAAGTCATTAGGCTAGATTTCTCGACTGGTGAAACAGGTGAAGTGAGATCCAAACACATATTATTCAGGGTAAAAGTGAAGTGCCAAAATCAATAAGGCTCAACTTCACTAAACCCTCCAGTGACCAGGTTATTGTGGAACTGTTGTTCATTGGTCTAGGCGCTTAACTTCCAGCCACTGGGTCACGAGTGTGAACTCTGCTCAACGCAGTGTGATATAGGCAGCTCAGTGAAGCATAATCACCCCTCAAATAACAGGCGTGAATCATTGAGAACTGGATGGGATTGAGAATGGTTATTGATTCACAGTGAGTTGAGTTGACCAAGTTATTTGGTGCCATTCAATTTTAAAAGTGGTCGATCATGAGCTGAATACTAAGCCTTGCTGCTTGTTTGTTCAATGTAATGTAATTTAAAATCATATAGAGGATTGATGACAGCTACACATAAAGAGGGAATTTCAAACAATTGGTGTTACAACTTCTGGACATAATAGGTTTTGTACTAGTTTGCACACTCGTCAAAAAAGTACACCTGTAACCTCAAAGAGTTTTGATGTCTACTAGGATATCAAGAGGATTTATACAATATGCAATTATACTCGACGACAGTGCTCAAACCCAGACCGATACCTGCTACCTTGACGTGGTAGTCGGGCATGGATATTGCTACACTGTCTGGACCTATTGTTTCTGCAGGTCCTACAATGCCACGGAGGTTGTTCTGTTAGCGATTAAAGTAAAAGGAGTTACCGGCATAATGTAAGATTTTTTTTACACTCTGCTGGGGGGTCTGTAGGCGAAGTCGTAGTGCTGGGAGTAAAGGTGTTTCTCTACACGGATACAGAAGGGTCGTTTCGTATATGCCAGTTTACACCATCTACGGCGTAGACTTGATATCCGACTGACTATCGACCGAAAGGACGTGTGCACTTCAAACCAGCACTTCGCTCCATCCTCCTCCTTTATCGCTATCAGACCTGGCCATTGAGAGTGGAAAACAAAACAAAGCCAGCTAGCTGTCTTTGATAATAGGCCCCTGTGCTCTATCTCCCGTGTGAAGTGGTACAATAGAGTGAGCAATATTGAGGTAAGGCATTGGTCGAGTGCTAGGTAAGAAGGGGAAATCAATCGACGAGGCTGTGAAGTTACACAGACTGGGGTGGTTTGGACATGTATTACGCAAGTCTAGCTTTCGCCTTCCACGACGGGCCATGTTAGCTGATTAGCATAGGGTCAGGTTGGGAAAGAGAGAGCCAGTGGTGGCCAAACCAGAACATGGCTTCATCAATCAATGACATCCACAACAGTTAGTTTAAGCCAGCCACGTAGGAAGGTGTAGACTGGTTGGCTGTCTGGTTTGTGTCCTCAGGACGGTAAACACGAATTGCTGAAGGCAATTGGTGATATGGCTTAAAATCATTCTCAATAGCGCGGATGCATCCACTCGTTATGAATCATAATACCGAATGAAACTATATTGTTCTTCGATTTTAGTATTCTTCTTGCCTTGTTCGTATTTCTGTTTACTGTCATCATTTTGCATTTCTTTTTACTTTCTTCTCTTGCTTTGTGTGCTACATGGAGTATGGCGACTCGAACTGCTGCACACTGGTGCAAAGTTCTATGTCGAAACCAGTCAATCAGTCAGTCAGTCATAGTGCTGAAATCTTACTCTTCTAAGATTAATTTACGCTTTATTTTCGCTTACTATGATTGGTTCCTTCAAGTTCATTCGCTTGGATCACAACTCTTTCACTTCGTTTATTTGTCTCTCTATTGAAATCATTCATATGATTATTCTAAATTTCTTCACTATTAAGTACTACTTCCCAGACTTAAGTAGTAAATTCGATTGTATGCAAAAATAAAATGCTTAAAAGAATAGTACTACTACTGCGAATAATAATAATAAAAGCGTAAACTAATAATTATTTTAGTAAAGGGATACTTACCTGTAGTAGAACTGAATTCTCCAGGAATACTGCCAATGGTAATTTACGCAGTGAATTCATTGATGCGGACTATTTCACAGACGGAAAAAATAAAAACCACCCCAGGAAAGAAAAACAGAAATGCAAAGGAAACAGTTGAAATGGCAGCAGCAATATAGAGACAGGAAATCAATAAATTAATCACAAGTGAAATAATAACAAAATTAAAATCTTTTTTTAAAAAAACGACAAAATTAAATTTAAAACTAGAACAAAACTACAAAATGATAAATAATATAAATAAATAGGTAAAAATTCACCTAGTTTTTAAGAGTTTATGGCGAAGTTAAACTTTCGACACCACTAACTACCAATCAGCGAATTATCCAATGAGGTTCACGAATGTAGTTCAATGTTGTATAGCGCTTGATTCATTTCAAATGCGTGCCCTTACAAGGTTATTTTTTTTATTTTTTTTATTATTTTTGATTACAGCTTGACTCCACACTGTATTTTTGGTACAAGTATGGAATTTTCAGCATGGATATCGGTAGCCCAAATTTTGCAGGCCGACCATAGATATGAGGTGTGCGCCAGCGTGGGCTCGAACCCCGGACCACGTGCATGGTCGGCGAGAGTCCTAACCACTGTGCAATTCGAGGAGGACAGTGTTTTCCGGTGTTGTTTGGATTTAGGGTTGCTCCAGAAGGAGCGAATGTGTTCGTGTGGTGGTATCATGACTTTGAAAAGCTATAGCAGATCAACTGATGGATTTGTTCGTCGTTGTGCTATATGTTTGAAGCGTGCTAGCATTAGAGAGGGTAAACTGATAATTTTTAATATTTCGTAGGAACATTTTCCGCTAGGTCGCATCTTTCCCTAACCCAGATTTGGTATATCTGCAACTACTGGGTGTTGAAACAGCCGATGAAAGCAGCAGCTGCCGAGACGGAGAACAGCCTCGTCTCAACAGTCCAGTGGTACCAGCATTGCAGAGACATTGCTTCGTGGAAAATAGGGAAAATCACTTCTTTGCTGGGTTGAGAAGACGTTATCGTGCATGTCGATGAAACTGTGCTGGTGAAAAATCAATACAACCGTGGTCGCCAGCGAGTAAACAACATTTAGGTATTAGGTTTACACGACACCTCCCTCCGAAAGGGATTCGTCGAACGGATAGCTAACAGAAAAGCAACCACTTTAATACCTATTATAATGAGGCTTGTTAAACGGGGGTCAATTATACACACAGACGAGTGGAAAGGTTGTAATTCGATGTCATCTCTGGGGTATATTCATCACAAAGTGAACCATTCAAGTGATTTCGTGGATCCCGTTACGAGGACTCATACGAATTCTATTGAAGGGGTTTGTGGCCGCTTGACAAACAGGATAAGGGCTATAAATGGATATCAAAAGGATCTCATTTATAGTCATTTAGATGAATATACGTACACGATATGGTGTAACTTCTCCATTGACAGTCTCATGCTAAACTGGGAGATGTTTCTCTCATATGTTCGAGAAAGATACCCTTTGTAACCGTTTTATCCTCTTTTTTATGCTTTTTTTCTATAAATATACGTATCCATTCATCACATATGCCTCTTTAATGTGATTGGTCCTTTCAAGGTCGTTTGCTGATTGGTAGTAAGTGGTGTGGAAAGTTAAACTTTGCCGAGTTTATTTGCAGGGATTTGATTTGTTCCAATTTGGATCATGGATTAATGAGATATTCGTTAGAGAACCACTGTGAGGTTCACCTGGTCGAGCGAGAGTGAGGACAAACACTCTCTGCCGGTGATACTGGCTGATGGTCACTCTAAAATCATGAATTAGTCGAAGTTAGAATTCACGGGACACCCATTGAGAATCAGGAAGGCGAAAAATACATTCATCAACCTGAAACAAACCAATCTGGAAATCTTCGTCACTCAGTCAGCATCAACAAAAAAATTCAGTCGGATTTTCACTAAAAACAAAACACGTAGATCAGCGAAGAGTCTCTTTTCGGCGAATTCATTTTCTTAGCTGTACAATCGCAAATATATATGCATTGTTTTGTATGTATGTGTACATTAAGTTTGTCAAACAAAGTTACAATTGGTTAAGGTTACTTTTAACTAAACAAGTGGAGGATGGTAATACAGGTCAAGAAAATTAAGTGCTAATGAAACTAGGGTAGTAAAAAAATGATGAGTTGTCACAAACAGTTGTAATAATAATAGTGAGTTTTACTCAGGATGCACATAGAAACAAAGTAGATAATGCGAAACTATGTAAGAGATCTAAGTGGATACAAGAATTATAATTGCTTAAGGTTATTTTAACTAAACAGGTAAAGGTTGGTAATATAAGTCAAGACCATTAAGTGCTAGGGTAGTAACAAAGGTGATGAGTTGTCACAAACAGTTGTTAAAAGAAGTTATGCAATAATAATATGAATAGTTTGATGAGTGAGTTTTACTCAGGATGCACATAGAAACAAAGTAGATAATACGAAACTATGTAAGAGATTTAAGTGAATACAAGAATTATAAGCAATTAAGGAACAGGCGAAGAAACAAAATTAAGTCATCAAAATAAAAATAAAAGCTCAAAACAAATCAAAACATTGTTACCATGAGAGTAGAAGTGGTTGAGTAATCTTCTTTTGTATGCACAGCTCCGGTTTTTCCATGTGAATGGCCAGAGCTTCAGCGATGCAAAGGAGACGAAACCGTATTGCCTTTGATATGTTATTCTTGACTCTGTAGATTACTTTGAAGGAGGCGTTCGTTGAAATGCAATGATCAGTGTTGACCAGGTGTTCAATTATCGCACTCCTTATTGCACCAGTATTGCCTTTTCGCAACCATGCTGGATAATGTTCTTGAATTCTCTTGGACAGGATGCGCGTCGAACGACCGATGTACCTGGCTCCACAGCAGCAGGTGAACTGGTATATGCACATAGAAGTGGCCAGATGCGGGATCTTGTCCTTGAGGCTTCTGCAGATCAGTGGGCGACTGGAGAACACTATTCGTAGCGTTGCTGCAAAGAACGTTCTTCTCAGAGATGATGTGATCCTTCTCTTGAGAATATCGCTTGCTAAATCTCCCTTGAAATCCAAATTCATGTAGATTTTCTTTTTAGGCACAGTTAAAGTTTCGTTTTTCCGAATTATTGGTTTCATATTTTTGTCGATAAATCTTATTGGGTATCCATTTTGGATGAATATTTCTCTCAGAATATCTAATTCTGTTTCCAGAACGTCGGGACTACAGATGCGTCGGATGCGGGTAGCAAGTGATTTAATTAAGTTTCGCTTTTGTTGAATGGGCACCCAGCTATAGAAGCTTGTTAGTTGACCATTCCACGTAGGTTTTCTATGGATTGATCTTCTTAGGCTCCCATCAGCTCTTCTTGTCAGTTCCACATCAAGAAACGGAATTTTTGACTCGTTTTCCATTTCAAGAGTGAATTTTATTGCTGGATGGCAATTGTTAAATGTCTTCAGCAGCAGATTGGGGTCGTTGTTGTTGTCACAAATAATGAAAATGTCATCCACGTATCTTTTATACAGTCGCAAATTGTCGAGGCTTGGCTTTAGTGAACCTCTCTCGAGGCTTGCCACGAAGCAATCTGATAGTAGTGGACCCAACGGAGATCCCATTGCAATACCATCCTTTTGTCTGTAGATGGTGTCGTTGAATGTGAACTGGACGTTCAGAGTGCATCTCAATAATAGTTCTTTCAAGTATGTTGTCGGTATTCCAATATCGAGGTGGTTGTCATCTATATATCTGCATATGAAGCAGACCGTTTCTGTGAGTGGGACATTGGTGAAAAGTGACTCGATGTCGAAGGACAGCATAATTTTCAAAGTAATCTACAGAGTCAAGAATAACATATCAAAGGCAATACGGTTTCGTCTCCTTTGCATCGCTGAAGCTCTGGCCATTCACATGGAAAAACCGGAGCTGTGCATACAAAAGAAGATTACTCAACCACTTCTACTCTCATGGTAACAATGTTTTGATTTATTTTGAGCTTTTATTTTTATTTTGATGACTTAATTTTGTTTCTTCGCCTGTTCCTTAATTGCTTATAATTCTTGTATTCACTTAAATCTCTTACATAGTTTCGTATTATCTACTTTGTTTCTATGTGCATCCTGAGTAAAACTCACTCATCAAACTATTCATATTATTATTGCATAACTTCTTTTAACAACTGTTTGTGACAACTCATCACCTTTGTTACTACCCTAGCACTTAATGGTCTTGACTTATATTACCAACCTTTACCTGTTTAGTTAAAATAACCTTAAGCAATTACAATTCTTGTATCCACTTAGATCTCTTACATAGTTTCGCATTATCTACTTTGTTTCTATGTGCATCCTGAGTAAAACTCACTATTATTATTACAACTGTTTGTGACAACTCATCATTTTTTTACTACCCTAGTTTCATTAGCACTTAATTTTCTTGACCTGTATTACCATCCTCCACTTGTTTAGTTAAAAGTAACCTTAACCAATTGTAACTTTGTTTGACAAACTTAATGTACACATACATACAAAACAATGCATATATATTTGCGATTGTACAGCTAAGAAAATGAATTCGCCGAAAAGAGACTCTTCGCTGATCTACGTGTTTTGTTTTTATTAATGCCTGGATGGGGATTATCCATGAATTTCACTAAAAACACGTCAAGTCAGTTAGTTCTTCTATATGAATCAAAAACTTGGCGGGCAGGTCACAAAGAATATTTCCAACAACCTGTTGCAGACCTTTATCAAACAACTGTCTTCCCTGACTCTATACTGAAGACCAGATGGCCGGGTCGGAAACAATCACCAACAAGAAACTCTGACTGGGAACAAACAAAACAAGAGACAATCGCCAGCCAACAAATATGCAGGAGAAAGTGGAGATGGATTGGATACTCGCTCGCTGAGGAGGCCGCCACTGGGTGACATCGCATGCGCGTCAGGTCATTGCTCGAGTGGAACCAAGCTGCGAGGGAAGCGGTGGGGAGTGGTACGTCAGTGCAAGGGTGAAATGGAGGAGATAGTGTGAAGAGGATTTGAAACAGTCAGT